ATATTTAAAATTTTATATGAATTAAATAAATATTTATTGAATATAAGTAAAAATAGTAATTATGGTTTTTTTTGTAATGCACTGTATAAATTAAAAATATAGATTTTAATTTAAGAATATAAAATATAATATTTAAAAATAGAAATATGATTATAAAAGATAAATATAATAAAATAAATAGATATATAATTATATAAAAATAAGAATAATTATAAAATTATAAAAAATAAATTTTTTTGTATAATTAAAAAAAGATTATATAATTAGAAAATTTTATATTATTATAATAATAATAACTTATAATAATCAATTAAAAAGTAATTTTTTATAATAAAGATAAAAATTAGACTAAATTATTTATAAATTAAGTATTTTTTTAATTATTCTAAAAATATTCTGTAGTAGCTTATATAAATTATTCTTTTTTTATAAATAAAAAAATATTTAAAAATAGAATATCTTATATAATATAAATTAAATTATTATAATAAAATTAAATTTATTTTATAATAATTAATATATTTATAAATATAATCAAATTTATTTTATTATTTTATTAGATTAATATCTATTTTTATAATACTTAAAAATATCTTTATATATAAAATTAAATTATTATATTAATTTTATGATTAATATTTTATAATATGTCAAAAAAAAACTGAAACTTATAATTTTTTCTATAAATATTTATTTAAATAATATAAAAATTTAAATATATATATTTGAAAGTATAATAAATAACTTTATTTAAAACTACTTGAATACTTATCTTATTAAAATTAAAAATTTTTAATAATAAGAAAACTTAAATAAATTATTATAAATAAATTTGATTATTATTTTATAAATTAATATTAAGTAAAAACTTATTTACTAGATTATTAATTATATATATTTAAAATTTTATATAATTTAAATAAATATTTATTAAATAACAAATAAAAAAAATTAAAAAAAGTATTTTAAATTTTCTATAATTAATTTTTTCAAATATTTTATTAAGATAAGTCATTAAATACTTTTAAATAAACTTTTTTACTAGATTATTAAGCATATATATTTAAAATTTTATATAAATTAAATAAATATTTATTAAATATAACTAAAATTAAAATTTCTAATTTTTTTAATATATTATATATCTGTTTTCTTTAAAACTTATTATTAATAATTCAAGTATTTATTATTAATTTCTAATTTATTTTTTCTAATAATTATTATTTACAGATAGTTAATTATTTTTTAAATAATTATATATTATAATATTTAATAATATTAAAAAATTAAAAAAAAGATTTATAATTAAAAAAAGATATTATTTTATAATAAATTATTTTTATTTTTATATTTTGATTCAAATTAATTAAAAACTAATTCAAAAAAGAATTATTATTAGGAATAAAGATAAAAAAATTTATCTATTATAATATTTAATAATATTAAATAATTAAAAAGAGATTTATAATTAAAAAAGATATTATTTTATAATAAATCATATTTATTTTTATATTTTGATTTAAATTAATTAGAAAATTAATTTAAAAAAGAATCTTATTTAGAAATAAAAATAAAAAAGATTTATAAAATTAGAAAATTCTATTATAAATTATTTAAAATAAGATTTTTATGAATAAATTAAATATATAAATTATAAAATTAAGAAATTTAATATTATTTTAGAAATATTATTATTATTATTATTATAAATTTATTAGGAAAGAAATAATTATATAAAACTGATTTAAATATTAAAAAATATGATTGAATCTTTAAAAGTATAATTTAAGTATTGAAATACAATATATAATTTAAATACTAAAAAAAATATGATTAGATTTTTAAAAAGTGTGATTTGAAAAAATATAAGTCAGATTATATGTAAGTAAGAAAAAAATAGATTTAATAAGAGAGATATTATTATATTAAAGTAAAAAAGAGAATAAAACTAATTTAGAATAGTTATATAAATTTAATAATTATATATAAATAATAATTTAAATTAAAATATTTCAAATAAAGCTTTAAATTATTTTAATTATTACTTAAGATAAAATTAATTATGTGAAATTAATATTAAAAAGAAAATATTATTAAATTTGGAAATCTAAATTCAGATTGATATTAATATTAATAAGACTCTATAAAACTTGATATTTATAAGAGAATTTATATATAAAAAATTCTATTCTGTGATTAATATTGCTATTAATATTAAAAAAATCTTATTATACTTAAGATTCAGATTAATTTTGATTAGAAATTAATTATATTAGATGTATAATAATTATAATATAAAATTATAATTAATAATGAAAAATAAAAATAAAAAATAAACTAAACTAAATATTACTAATAATATAATTTTTATATAAAAATAATAAAGATGCTTGATTTAAAATGATTTATATATCTTGTAATTTAATATTCTTGATATATAATATAATATAACAATTAAAAATTATTTTATTGGATCTACTTTAAAATAAAAAATAGATTTTTACCAGAAAAAATTTCATTTTTTACTGGATTAAAAAACTGAATTTTTGTTTAAATTTTTTTAAATATGATTTTTACTGGATGTAAAATATTTTTAAGTTATTCTATAGCTAAAAATAGTTGTCAAAATTCATGAATTTAACAAATAATATAATGTCAAAGCCGAAATATTAATTAACTATCAATATGTAATCTATTTAATTATTACAGATCTTTGAATTTTAACAATATAACAGCTCTATTAAATAACAAAATATTAATTAACTATTAATATGTAACCTGATATAATTTTGAATTTCAGCATTTTAACAATTTTCAAAATAATTTTGGTAAGCATTCTTATTTGCAACTCCATTTTTTAAAATATTATCCCTTAATCTATAGACAATTAGATAATTGGTAAAATAAAATTTTAATGTTCGTCACTATGTATTTAATAAAAATCTTAATTAACGATCATTATTATATCACCTGTATTATTTATCATTTCACGTACATGCATTAGATATACATTTTTCATTGATGACTCATCTTTGCATAAAATTACATGTACATGTAGAAAGTTTCGCCGAATAATTCTTTAATTACTTATCATTTCTAAATTCGTAAAAAACCTTTAAAAAATGCGCGAATTCAAAGAAACTCCAGGATATTCGGCAAAGTTTTCTTATTCAAATTCATATAATAATCCGAAAAGTTCTTTAAGTTCTAAGGTACTTCGCGTTGCGCCAAAAGCGACTCAACAGCAGCAATATACCCGAAATAGGAATCTTTATAGTCATTGTAACAATTTGAATACGGCAAATAATTTGGGTGCAATGAATACTATCCAAGAAGAAAAAGAACATAAACACGAACAACAGCAATATCAACCACACCAACAATTTCCTCGTCTATTTCAAGAAAAATATGAAGAATATGATTGGATTGATAATAGCTGCTTTGATAATTGTGACGCAATTGCTATCTCAAAGGAAGATTTAGTCAAAGCAGCCGCTTTAAAAGTCTCTCGTGGAGATTTGTTGAAAGCAGTATCAAATTATCATTATTATCATCAAACATATGATAAATATTTCAAAGGAAATGATAATGGTATTAATCATTTTAAATTTGTATTATATCTGTTCATTATAATAAATTCTTCCGTAATTCTTGTTTTATATATATACTCAAAATATAGGATCCCCAAAAATATGGATCGGAAATGTGACAAAAGAAGTTCAAATTGATAGGTTAAAATATGCATTAACTGCTCAATTCGGCTTTCTCTTGCACTTTATTAAACCTTGTGATAAGGTAAACAAAACACGTTTTATTATGATTGATAATATTTTAAATACGATAATTCATCATGTTATTTATAATGGAATTTAGCCGTATATCCTTGCAAAATTTATCAATTTAAAATGTTATGAGAAAGCAGTAATGGCCGGCGAAGTTCGAGTATTTGGAAAACCATTGCCCGTTGAGCCATATATTTACAAATCAAGCGCCAGTTATCAATAACTAACGAATTAATAAAATTCGATGAGTGAATCTATTTCTGATTGTATATTCTAAATAATTTTTTCAATTATTTAATTTATTCCTTTACCTTTCCTCATTCATAAATTCCTTTCCTAATTATTTAATAAATGTTTTAAGGTAATAATGCTTTTCATTGAGTTCCTAGAATTATTCTTATATTTGTTGTAGTACTTATACATGCATAGAAATCATTTTTATTTAATACATGTATACAATAATGTATTCTCTACTGTACGTATCGCTATTTGTAAATACTGTAACCTACCAATATTTTAACTCAAATCAAGCAATTTAAAGACTATATCATTATACTGTACATTTAGTTTTGACGTTAATTTTCGAAAATATTAAAAAAATAAATGGTGCTTAAAATTGTTACGGTACAATTTCCGTTACAAATTGAATAATGATTTTTGAAAGTCAGCAGTATATCAGAACAGTAAATAATTGAGCATGTTTTTTATACTAGAAGTTGTCTCGATAATTCGAATTAATAATCTCGACATAGGGCTAAATAGACCAATGAAAATACAAACCCTTCAAATGCTTAAGGTTCCTAATTGAAATATTGCATTTATTTCATTTTATAAGATATGTCAAAGAAGAATGGAACTGTATGGTTATTTGGAACAAAAAATAAGCTTCCTCTTAATTTAATTGAAGAAATAACTGCTGAGCAAATATATTGTATTTATCAACGGCAATGATATCTTTTTTAATGTCGCGTATCATTGATGCACTAGGATAGTTTCTTAATTTTTTTAGCATATGTCAATCACAAAAGCATGCAATTTCGATTTATAATTTTGAATAACGTGCTCGAGCCCTCTACATAATTGAAATTAGTAAAATTAAATAATATCCAAACTAGTAAAAAAGAAAGAATAATAAATTATCAAATATCGACCTTGATTATTCTCTTCATCTCTCTTTGTTTCTGCTCTTCAGATGTTAATGCAGGAATTTGACTTTCCATCCATTTCTCTAATATCGGGATGATCTTGTTATCTGGGAGTCGTTTTTTTTTTACCCATTTTTCTTATCATTATATCATCCAATCGAGAAGATTAAAATTCTTGGTTACAAAATGAATTCATTAAATAAAAATAAATAAATTGTTTACCAATACTGTTTTCCATATCCTTCAACACAGTAGCCGAAACAGGAACGTTTGGTTGCTTCAACGCCAACAACTCGTACGCCACAATCCTCAAATTGAATTCAGTATTTGTGCAATAACTTCTATTCAATCGAACCTGATAAAAAAACTTGAAATTTTCGCAGATACTAATTCGTATTTGAGTCATTGTTGCACCACAACGTCGTAATAGTCTTGGATGCATCTTTGAATTGATTGTTGTTGTAGAAAAGGACGAGGCTTTTCTTTTATTGACTATCGCTTCTATTCTTGATTGAATAGTAGGATCTCGAGGGCGAATAGATTCCACTAGATTCCCGAGCACTTGTGATGTGATGTTTCTTGGAAAATCATTTTCTGATTGTTTCTCAATTGACAGCTATTATTTTTTATATCATAAAATAAAAAAGAAATACTACGCTAATAAAACAGTGGTAATAATGAATCGATATTTAATATACCTGTTCTGTCATATTGATCAAAGTGGTGAAACCATCTTCATCGACACCAAGTATTCTCTGTGACATTTTTTGCTAATATTTTTGTATTAAAAGGAACAAATAACTTATTCGCGAATTGGGATCAACTGTTAATTATGTGAGCACCAATTAAATGCTCATTTAATACATGTTACACATGTTATGATGTCGATATGGAAAGTCAAATTAACGTTAATGCAAAAATACAGCAAAATTGTTCTTGCAACCATGATGAGAACAAAAAATATTTTATTTTCTTCATTTCCAATTCGTAGAATTAAAATTTGCAATCTGCTGCGTAATTTCATCAATTACACTTTTTTTATGTCGCTCTTCACGTTCAAATAATTCCAAATCCAACGCACCAATATAGGCCTCCATAGATTCAGCAAGAACAGATTCATTGTTCCTCAATTTTAAAGGTCCTTCCTGAATCAAAATACATTTATCAAGTCCCGTACGACGACAATACTCTGCCAAGTTTTTACGACTAACAATCTCTGCGCGTAATTCGGTTAATCTGCCTTGTTGTGCTTCTGGAAATTCTCGAAGCAAATATTTTGCTACGTTGTAATTCAACGCGGCGTCACCTCTAAATGCCAATCTGTAAAAATTTGTGGATAATGTGCTTTTGATTTTTTTTTCGTGATCCGGATAGCTCGGATGTAGTAATGCTGCAAGCTTTAGATTTTCGTTTTGTATTTGTGGTAGAGAGAGATGATTCGTTGATGGTATGTGTGCTGGTGATTCTAATCGATGTTTGGGAATAGATATTTTGAATATTCCTGAGAGGATTTGTTTAAATGATTTTATTAATTTAATACGCATTTTTGCGAGATTAACGGTTAATCAATCAAAAATGAATTCTACAATTTGGCAAACAAAAAAGGACAGATCATGTGATTTTTTAAGGGGTAATCAAACTTGTACTTTCTAAATTTCATATCTTGTTTTTATTTCTTAAAAAATCATATGATCTGCCTTTCTTGAATTTTCACTTTATTATCTTAATTATAATTTTATTTCAAATTATTATTAAACTTAAAAGAAAATATAGTTAACTTTTATAAAATAAAATATACTTTTTATAAAATATATATTTATAATATATATTATATCTATTTTTAAACTTGAAAAAAGATATATATTTTTATATTATATAAAATTTATAAAGTAATTCATTATAAATTATAGATAATTACATATTTTTATATATATCAAAAGTGTTATTAATAAATTATTACTAATTTTTAATTTTCAGATCAAGTATATAATATTAAAAATTTAAAATATTAAAGTATATAACTATTAATAATTATATACTTTATAACTTTTTTATAAAATTATTAATTATTTTTTATAATACTAATAAAATATAAGTATATAAATTAAAATTATTTTTTAATTTATAGTATAATTTTGTAAATTTTTTAATATATTCTTCAGATCTGTTTTGTATTATGAAAAAAGATTCTAAAATTATATATAGTTTTATTTTAACTTGTAAAATCTTAATATTCAATATAATTTTTTAAATATAACATGTTAATTATAATTGATATTTAATAATGAAAATTACAAAATTAATAGAAGTTGAAATTAAAAAAATTCCACGAGTTTGTTATGCTATAATTTCGGGATTTCGTGCATTCGAAATATCATTCATCCTGGGATTTCGTTCGTTTGGAATAGCATTCATCAGGATTTCGGGATGCTGATTTTATTTTGGAAACATAAATAATTCATTTGTCATCTGATTGGTTAATTAACTAATATCACGTGCAACCAATAGAATTATCATGGTACATGTATTGTTAAAAATGTCACAAATTAAATAATACAAGATAAGCCGAAGGGTCGGGGGAAGAGACAATTTATTCGGCTTATCGAGATTTTCGTTTTACTAAATTTCGCACAAAGCCGAATTTATATGTAATAAAAAATTTGGTAAAACCAGCGGCTTAATGCATAGCGTAGCTTCGTCTTAACGAGTTTGCCTTGTAAGCTAATTCATAATATTTCAATATGTTTGACAATATGTCTGACAATTTATGTGTTATCAAAATTAATGATATAATATATTAAAAATAAGCTCTTTTTTACATGGGTTTAAGCTCGATAATTTATTTTTAAATTTATATCAACAATATCAAAAAATGGGTGTAGCTTATTTTTGGAAATAGTTTATTTTCGGTTTTAAAAAGTATGATTAATTTGCTTGTGTTTCATAACGATAATTCGCACTAATGCCCATAGTGCCCTTTTTTTTATTATGATTTATATGTACAGTATGCATGTTGTGTTCAATATCGATATTAGATTCATTTTGTGATTTTATTATTAGCTAAAAGTGATTCATAATAATGAATAGATAATTCGATATTCAAAAAAATGATATACATGTAGTAAAAATCCATTTATACGCTATTATGTGTCTTCAATAATAAATTAATTATCTACAGAAAAGAAAATACAAATTGGAAGTAATCGAAAGCATGCAGCGCCACAAAAAAATCGCATATAAAGAGAAAACTTTTATTTCTTTTGAGAAAATAAACAATATGTTACTAAAAAGTAAAATTTACACTTTTTTATCTTTTCTCGTAATCTGTCTTGAATGCTCGTACGCAGCACCTATAACTCATCCCCCTGTCACTAATGGCGTTGCCAAATTCGAATTACTCGGCGGCACACTTAAATTTACTCAGATTGACTCAGAAAATATCAAAATGACGGGTCAATTCACCAAAGGCCTCACGGATCCTAATCCTGCGAATTATGGTTTTGCAATTGGTCCTATTCCATTACCTTCCTTCCCTATAACAATCGATCTACCTGGTACTGCTCCTTTTACTACCACTTTTCCCGGAAATCTTACTATTCCAGTTGCTCGACATATAAATGTTCTGTTTAAAAACAATAATGTAGTTATGGATCGAGCAGAGATTGATGAGGTTAATTGAAAATTTACAGTTATTATCTATAAAATCTCGGCAGTTTAATTTTAGAATCCACATTATTTTTTTCTTAAACTTTGTTAATATATAAATTATTATACAATTTTAACTTTTATCTGAAAACTTATTAGTATCACAAATGTTTATTGATAAAAGAAAATTACAACTAAAAACTATGTCGCACTAATAATGCACCCCCGCAGTAGAAACTAAACGCATGCTATAATATTATATTTCACATCGCAGTAAAAACTTATTTCACATTGATGATATCTTACCAAAATTGACATCCAATTTACGTTTTTGCGCGTGTAAATTTTCTAGGTAAAAAAATAAAAATCTGATTTGATGATCACCGCCTCGGATTACACTGGATCGATAACTTGAGAGGCTTATTATTATAATATATTTGAATAAGAGAAACTGCTTAATCCTTGCAATCCTTTAGGAATTTCATGAGTTTTAAATGCATTTATATAATCTTCTATAATTCTCTTCAAGTTCACTTTCTTCTGCAAATGAAAAATACGTACATGTATAAAATATATATATACACATATAGCTTGTTATATAATTACTCAGAGTTCACTCCTTGGACCAGTCCAATAATTAAATTACTAATAATATTTTTATTCAAACTGTCCAAACTATCCAAGAGCCAATCCTGAATTTACTATATCTTGCTAATAATAACTTGTATAAAGATTATATAATTGATTTATATATTTATATACAAGCTATAAATTCTATTATATAATAAAGATTAACTTAGCTCAGTTATATAACTTACAATTAGTCTCAAATTATTAATAAAATATGAAAAGTGATAAACTTTAAACAGTTATTATTTTATAAAAAATTAAACAAATCGAATTAACTTTTATAAACTGAATGTTTATAAGCTAATTTTATTAATTTATAAAGTTTTCTCTTTTGATATATTTTATAATAATATAAAAAATTAAAGTTAATTTTTATAACATAATTTTATATCTATTAATTATATTTTTATAAATATATCTTATTTTTAAATTATTAACATTTTTAAAAGTATAATTACAAAGAAATATAATTATATTTTTTATTATTATATTTATTATCTTATTAATTATTTCATTATAAATATATTTTTTTCAAAATTCAAATTTTATAATTTAATAATTTATTATTAATAATATTATTTTATTTTTATAATTATTTTAATATTAATAAATTATATAATTCAAAAAAATTATTTAAATTTTATTAATATTATAATTTTTTATATTTAAAAATATGGGCCAGTGCAAAAAGATTGGTATACCAATATAAAAATCAATAATTGCTTCTAATAAAAGTCATTCAAATTTTAATCAATCTTTATAATTTTTTTATATTAAGTAAAAAAAATCTAAATTAACTTTTTATATTATTTTAATTATCTTATTATACTTTAATTTAATAATAAATAAAGCATTACTTTACTAAAAAAACTAAAATAAAATTATTTTTTTTAAAAAA